TTGTTAGAAATTAACGCGTTCGCGCGCTCTCGAATTGATCGTAATCATTCTGGCCGATCCGACGATCGCGTGTCGTCGTCGTCGTCGTCGTCATCATCGTCGTCGTCATCGCGCGTACGATTCTCGTGGGGGGGGGGGGGGCGTCGTCGTTAATTAGCGGAATGGCGGCGTCAGTAGCGATAGTTTATCGCGCGCGCGGTTGGTTTAGCCCGCGAGATCGACTCTACACGGAAGGAAGAGATGGGACGATATACCTCACGCTGTCGTCTTATATACGGTGTATAAACGCCACTGCGTTGTGTCGCGGGACCACCTACGACAAATGTGGCAGCCCGCAAATAATACCGAGCGTGTGTTGTACCACCGGCGACAGCGCGGAGATACAGAGCTCTAACTGCCAACGCGCTATCGTGTGGTTTAGTGCCTTCGATTATTTTTCTCCCTTCCGCCTCCCCTTTCTCTATGAGAATACATTTGTATATACGGGATGTCTCTTCATAATCGCTGAGCAAAAATGCACGAGGCGACAACGGCTGTTTGAAAATTCTGAGGGAACGAACGAATCACGAGATTATTCGATTTATGTTGAAAGCAGAACTCGACTCGAGTAAAATCTCGAAAGTGTAATAAAATTCGACTTGTTTTTTTTTTATTTTCTATCCTGATGAATTAATTTAAAATATCCTTAAAAACAAGTCGGTTTTGATAAAAATGAAAATTAGAGATTTGCGATAATTGAAATTTTCCTCGACAAAACCTGCTAGTCTAAACTTTGTGGGAAAAAATCAGGACTGAGGAACGAAAGAGACACTCTGTATATTATCTTCTCCGTGAGAGGAGGATACGCTTGTTTTCTTGTAAAATACTGAACCGCCTTCCGTTTGCGGCCCTTAAACGACGGATCGGCATGTACAGTATCTCATTATAATGGCGCTCGCCGCGGAAGAACCGATAACGTCGACCTCGTTGGTCGATTTAAGGGACGGTTGCGTCGATTGAAAATTATTGGCCGTGTAGGTGATATACCAGCCGTTTCACGCGCCATTTCTCACCGAAACTTGGATCCCTGAGAGTCGACTTCAATAATTACACATCTGAAAGATTTCCACGAGGACGATATCGATCATGCTTATCGAAATCGCGTTGGTGCCCGAGCGCATAAACGTCTAATCGCAAGCACATCTCGATAAATATATTATTGAGATAATAAAACGTAATAAACCGTACCGCGAGCTGCGGTGACCTTTCAAATTGCCGCGAGGAGGGAAAGATTGGCAATCGATTGAAATTAAATAGCATGCGCGCGCGCGCGCGCGCGCGCACGGTGGAAGTGCGTAAGAACGATCCGAGCTCCGAGGGAAAGGCCCACTTTTCTTCGCGATAACGTACATATACATATCACTCTCTCGATGCCCCATCCTCCCTTCTTCGTCGCCCCCTTCCCCGCTTTCCGCTTCCCCTCGTCATCATCTTGGTCGGCTCTCGAACAATAGCGCCTCGGCTGCACGGTGGATGAACTTCTGAGGCTGGAATCGGCTCTGCCCACTCTGCAAATTGCGTTTTCGTAAAAATATTCATAGAGGAGAGAGAAGAGAGGTCGGGCCGATCTAAAGCGGCAGCCTACATCCTGCTGCACGGCTAAATGCAGCGTGGATATATAGGTCTCGATCGCTGATACGCCATTGTACGGAAAAATGGATCATCGAGCGAGATTTCGACACGGCGAATACGGCGGGCTGAATAACGTGAAAACGTTACGCACCAAGGAAACCGTAGTATAACAATCGTAAATATACTCTTTTGTGAAATCAAAGCTAACATTTTTTATAAAAATTGACAATTATGCGTTTTTGTTAACGAAGAATACACCTACAAGCATATTACTGATCATTGAATGATATTTTATTCGTAAAATATAATATTGTCCTGCAAAGTCAACGTTGTAATTTTTGATGTAAATTTTTCAAGATGAGCACATACAAAAACGTGCGCCGTATGCGTATTGTTATTATTATTGAATCGTCTTATCTCGCTCCTCGTCCCACGTAGAGAATCTAGAATAAATTTACATCAGAAGATTTCTTTCCTTCATCTTTTAATTCAATTTGATAATGAAGCTGGACTTCGTGTCTTCAATTAAACTTGTTTATCCTCTTTATGCCACATCTTCTCTCTCTCTCTCTCTCTCTCTCTCTCTTCTCTCTCTCGTCTACTCTCTCGCTACGACCGTACGGTAGTACGGTCGTACGTACGTACGTACGAACGTACGTACGTACGTACGTACGTAAGTTAGGTACGTACGTCGTCGCGTCGTCGTACGACGTACGTACGTACGTACGTACGTACGTACGTCGTCTCTCTCTCTCTCTCTCTCTCTCTCTCTCTCTCTCTCTCTCTCTCTCTCTCTCGTACACGTTACATCGCGAGAGAAGCCGCGAGGTATTTAAAAAAATTGCGCGTAATCGTGGTTGTATACACTTCTTTCGCGTATCTGCCGACC